CAAACCTAGAAGCATATCATGAGCAATGAAGGCCAATTACGATGCACCCCCACGATCTCAAACACAATCAATAAATTACATACTTAACTAGCGATGGTAACAGATTTTTAAGCTACACTTTCCCGATCTAAAATGAGACCCGTCAACACAAATTGACACGACGTCTTGCACACCCACTAGTAGAAAAAATCAATTGCTGCAATCATATTGCAGGTATCAGCAAATATGTAACCTACAACAGCCTAAGAATCTAAGATGCTGAACAGGAAAAATTCGGAAGTTTGAGGGCAGAGAGAAGCTTCTTCTTACCTTTAAGGATACGACAGGCATTGACAACCCAGCGACCTGGTTCATGATAAAACTCCACAAAGAAGAGCTTGGCGGAAGAATTGCCATCCCCATCAAGAGCGGATTTCAGCTTAGCCGTGAAGTTTAGATGCATCCACATTGGATGGCTGAAAACTGAGCAATCCATGGGCTCAACAAGTTCATAGTTGGTACGCTGCAAATAACACATGGAAATTTTGACAAGAATGAAATAGATGACACAAGAAAAAAACTAGAAGCATGATGAAAAGGAGGCTAAGCTAAGTACGTGTAATAGAAAGAATTTACATACATGTCTCTTGTTGTAGTATTCCAGTGCTATTTGGGAGAGTTCAAGATTTTGACGACGATAGGCCTCTGTGTAGTCCTTTTGCGGATAACTTAAAATTAGGAAGTAAATATACAGGTACAGAATTAACAGAGAAACATTAGTACCCATAATATTAGCGTAAACTTAATATAATCATAAGAGAGGTGATAATCTGAGAGCTTTGAAGGTGTATCCTATCCGTGTATGACAAATATATCGTATAAGGGGTATAACCAAACAAAAAGGTTAAATAACTCACATTGATATAAAAGAGGAAATGAACTCAAAATTACAGTTTCTAATTAACATAAATTTTAAATTATATTTTGTGAACTTGTTACGAGTTAACACTTAACATAGTTGTAACTTGAATATGGGAAGTCCAGTCCTTTCTTGTAAAATCCCAGTATCAAAATTTTAATACTTGATAATCATGACGCGTTATTTTTGGTTAGGGCAGAAACAATCATCGGGAAAAGCAAGGTTATAGGAATGAATCATGATGCGTTTGCGTTAGGTTAGGGAAGAAACAATCATCGGATAAGCAGGGTTATACGAATGACTCATGATGCGCTTGCGTTAGGTTAGGGAAGAAACAAACATCGGATAAGCAAGGTTATACGGATGAATCATGATGCGTTCGCGTTAGGTTAGGGCAGAAACAATCATCGGGATAAGCAAGGTTATACGTATGAATGGCTACTCCACTAAAGTCTAAGAAGCAAAGAGGGAGCATTATTACTCATGAACAGAATCAGCCATTGCTAAGCTATGAGCTACTCCACTAAAGTCCTTTATTATAAGCTCAAACAAACAAATTAATGATAAACAAGATAACTTACACATAGTCCTCTGGTACATCAGGATAAGGATCAGTTACATCACGAAAATCATCGTCGTCTTCAGCTGGACTGACCCAAGAAAAAAAAAATCAAAATCACTGGATGATTTTATTACTGGTAGAATAATTCAATTAAACAAAAAAAATTAAATTAACCTGGACCCTGTATTCTTCTGATTTTTCAGCGCCCTGGACCTTGTATCCTTCTGATTCATCTTCATCCTCGTTAATTGAATTGAATTACAAACCCAAACTCGTAAAAAATAAAATTAAGCAAGCAAATTAAACCGTTTTTAAAAAATAAAAAATAAGATAAGATAATCTCAATTTCAATTGTGCAAATTATGCGCTAAATCATCAGAAAATCGCTATAATAAATCGAGGAAGAAGACCGCCATTGACATACCTTGCTCCTGGGTTCGTTGTTTCGCGTTTTCCCCAATTTGCTCTCCTCTGATATATATAAGCCGTATACGAGTAACTCATAGATATTGTATGGGCCTTAAACATTTGGGCTAATGATGCTTCTTACTATTGATATAGATTAAACTTCTTAGTAGCCCATTTAATCTATTTAAATTCAATTGAAAACAATTACATTTCATATTATTTGTGAGATATAAAAAATTTTAAAGTTGCAAATAATATAAAAAATTCTAAGGGTGGATAAATATTGTCTTGCAATAATTTTAATGTTGTTGAACTATTGTATTGGTTATTTTACAATAATGTAACTTGTTATGTTTGCTTTATGGATAACACGTTATGTTTTTATTTTTGCTTCATTGATTATTGTATTGTGTTGATATTGGTAATAAATTTAAGCTCTTACCCAAATTAAATTAAATTTATTTTGATTTTTTCATTGTCCTTCTTTTATACGAATTGTGCAATAACTTGTTTTCTTAACTTTCGACATTTCCTCCTTTTTCTCCATCCAACTTTTTTATCCTTTTCTTGGTCACCAAACCCCTTCCCATTTGCTCAATATAATTTAGGGTTCTAATTTGTTAAATAATTGGGGAAAGTGATATGTTATGGATAAAATTAAAATGTAACAAGAAGTAATAAAGATCAAAAAAAAAAATTAACTTTAATTATATAAGAAATCAAAAAACTACAAGAGAAAAGGATAAAATTTAGTAGTTTGAAGCTCCAAAGTCGAGTATAATTACTGATAATAAGCGAACCAGTCTTGAAATCCTTGAAAAAAATAGTCTACAACATAAGAAAAGTCCAAGTGGTTAATACTCGCATGTATTAGAAGTTGGTTTAGTTATGTTGATATTATGTTGATAATATTGTATATTTGGATGTATATCCTTTAGGAGTTTTAGGCAAGTTAGGTTTTCTAATGTATTGTACTATATATGTCTTTGTGATCATCAATACAAGGTTAGGCCATTTTCTCCTAATATTCTTGAGTTTAACATATCACAACCTCTGTAATTTCTAGAGATTTTTTTTTCGATCCTGGTTTGTTTCTCACATTCGTAATTTTTCTTCTTTATTTTTCTGCAAATTTGTGAGATTAGGGCTTAATTTTTTTTTTTTTTAATTTTTCCATATAATTGGGTGTAGTCGAAATAAGGGTTTTTATTCCCTAATTTTTGCTACGTTTATTTACAAGTGTGGTGTGTGCTGCACTCGATTGATCGAGGTTCGGTGTGTGGTACGCCGTGGTGTTTGGTGTGCGTGCTTGAGGTGCGTTGTTGTCTGCTACTATGTGCTAGGCGGGTGCTTGTGCGCAAGTGCAGTGTGTGGGTTGTTACTTGCGTGTGGTGATTCGAATGCGGTTTCTAGTTCGGATACCGTAACAGAGCAAATTATTTCTGATGAAAATAATTCGTTTACGCCTTTGAATTTGAGTGGGAGTTCGACGGAAAATCTTGGTTGTGGTCAACGTGAGAAACGTCCACCTTCGTGGATGCGTCATTATGTCACAAACACATTCATTACGGAAAATATAGACACCACTTCTTCGTCAACTGTCGCCCCTTCACAATCTCGTTCTTTAGGTAAACCTTTCTTATAGCTTGTCATGTTGAATATAATAATTTTTCTTTGAGACATAGGTGTTTTTTGATGGGAATTACGAAGGGAAAGGAACCGTCTTTATTTAAAGAGGGGTTAAATGTGCGGGTTGGCGCAAGGCGATGCAAGATGAGATTGATGCCTTAGAGCAAAATGGTTCATGGACCGTTGAGGATCTTCCTCCCAGCAAGAAAGCGATTGGCAGTGGTTAAGTATATAAAATAAAATATACCGACAAGTCTTAAGTGGAGCGTTTGAATGCGCGTTTAGTTGTTCATGGAAATCGACAAGTTGAAGGTGTTGATTATAATGAAACATTTTCTCCTGTTGCTAAGATGGGTACGGTACGTCTTTTTCTTCCTGTTGTTGTTTCTTTGAATTGGGAATTGCATCAGATGAATGTTCATAATGCTTTTCTTCAAGGTGATTTGGATGAGGAGGTTTATATGCATTTTCTGTCGGGCTATGGTACTCCAGTTCTGAGGAAAGTTTGCAAGTTGAGAAAGTCTCTTTATGGTTTGAAACAGGCTCCGCGTCAATGGTTCGCTAAGCTGTCAAGCGTTTTGCGACACTTTGGTTTTAAACCATCTTATGCTGATTATTCTCTATCCAGTTATGTTCAGGGTGGTGTCTCATTGCATGTGCTTGTCTATGTGGACGACTTGATTATTGCAAGTTCTTCTCATGATGCTATTGTTCGTTTCAAAGCATATTCCTTCTATATGAAGGATTTAGGCGTTCTTAAATTCTTCTATATGATGCTATTGTTCGTTTCAAACCATTTAAAACTCCATTTTTGTTACCCAAAAGAAATGAATATAGATAGATATACATTGGATAAAACATACAAGGAACTGGAGAACGGTCCTCTACTGCACTAGTGATTCGAAGATCAATGGTTGCCGTTAATCACGCTCTGATCGAACGGTCATAATTCATCCACCAGACTTGGTTTTCTGTCTCCTTAGAACTCAAGGTTACATAGGTACGATCCTATAGAACAGCTCCTGTTCAAGTAAGGTCGTATCCTATTGTCTACTTGTCTTGGTTGATAACACAGTATTTTGTTTGTATATGACCGTTGCGGGACTTTTTGTCAATTCAGTTAATAACATGATTTTACATTGTTTCATGCCTTTTCTACTTTCTTTGTTTCGTTTTAGATGCATAATTTTCTAAATGACGAAGTTTTAAATTAGATGCATCACTTTCCATTTTAGTAAATCTATTCTCTCTATCTCTCTCCAAAATTTGTCTAAAAGTCCATGTTTTACAAAATACGAGTAATACATCTAATATGAAACGGAGGAAGTATTTAAAATTTGGCCTCTCTTTTAAGTGGTACACTTTTGTAATGCAAAGTTTATGCATCATTCGCGCTGAACAGAATGTTTCGTTGAGATTTTGTATTTCATTCGTGTTTATGTTTTATAAGAAATAAAAGTACGAAGAAGCCGTATAACCTCCACACAACTCATATAGCCTATATAAAAGAACATAATCAAAGTCATCTGAACTTTGAAGCCCTAGTATAATCAAATGATATCAAATTAAGTTACAATCTTAATAATTCATAATACTTGTAGACAACAATTGACAACTATCTATCATAATAATAAGTACTCGAACTCCGAATAGCTCACGTAATCAGTTTTAAAATGGAGTAGTACCTATGTACCCTCCGAACAAGCCATTGCCTAAATAAAAGCATATGAAAGCATCTGAAGTGGCTGCTTCAATCTGTTTTAGGGATAATGTGGTAACACCCCAGTTACTCAGAGCTGCAGCCGTAAAACTATCCATCAGATGCTTCTTCACATCTGAAAAACACAACTCTTTCACTAAATCCAGCAGGCCAAACCCTTTATACACTTCTTTCTCCTTGATAGTTGCAGCCAACTGGCCTAAATCAACAGCATTCCTACACTTGATCCCGTAATCCCTCTCCAAAGCCTCGAGGCAGTGTCTAATCCCGACACCCACAAAGGATAACCCTCGGAGTTGGAGGAAGTTGGCCAGTGAACAAGGTGCTGCTTTCAGTTGCAACAGCTGGATAATCAGACAACTTGTTCCATAACAAAGCTTTAGTATTGCAACTCTTTCCGAAACCAGGTGGCTACCTCCAGAACCATCAGGACTAGAGGATGGTCTAAACTCTTTTTCAACACTCAACCCTACAACACATTTACAACTATTACCACGTACATTTTGGCTTATGCTGACGAGCAATTCCCTTAGACTTTGATCAAGCTGAGCTATGGTTTTTATTACTGTGGTTTTTACAACTCTGCTTTCTAGTCGAACCTTGCAAGTTATCGACATATTTGTTCGGTGATTTTTGTTCCTAGAACCAGTATTTGAGAAGGTATCAAATGAAAAAAGAGATGTAGAGAAAACAGGAGGAGAAGGTATCAAGTTAACTAGAAAGTAACCAACTTTTTCACTCCACTAAGTAAAATACCTTCAATAATTGTACTTTCATGCCGAAAGATTTGAACATAAAACACAATTCTCATAGCCTTACCCCACCACCACCTACAAATTTGATCGCGCTAAGTTTTCTATCATTTCTCTCTTTTTCTAGCATAAGGGTTACTAGTGAGGGAGGGATGATAAAATGATAAATTCAACTTGTGCAATAATAAGATCAAGAAATACCATCAGGTAAAACTACTAGTTAACAAAAATAACATCCAAATTGTAACACATACATTGTATTATTCGCATATCACAAGTTCACAATCACAGCTACTAATCTTAAATTACCTGTTAATACATAGATTAAGAAACCATCAGTCTAACAATACACACCATTATGAAAGTCATCCTTCCAATCACAGGAAGTATTATATCTGGGTCGTACTAAAAATCAGAACAGATAAGCTTAGAAAAGCACGGTAGGTAGCAGCCTCAACCTGTTGTTAAGTGCAGCAGCACCCCAGCCATCCCAAGCTTATGCGCTCTATTACACAGTATGCAAATAATATAGTATCAGTAGGTTTTTACACGGAGAGCAGCTTGTGAATTAAAAGATCATAACACAGTTATATCACCAAAAAAAATTTACCCTAACCTCTTTAAGTTTTTTTCCCAGGCTTACAGTAGAGTTTATGCAGGTATCAAGTCACTAAACGCAACCAGTATGTCTACTCCATTAATAATTAACTGTCCATCCGAAAGATTTGCCTCAATTAACATGTATAGATTTTGGTGTATGCAACTCAACGTCCAAAACAAAAATGCTCACATAACAAGCGTCCTGTTATGGTGTTGGGAATATATGGGTTATTGAATTGTAGGAATAATTAGAAATCTTTCATTATATAAGTATGATTCGATAGAGCTTCTGGTATCAAATGCATCTAATGTAATCAAGACTTGAGTAACTTAGTTGAACCGTATTTTAAACTTCATCCGTTTCTACATATGTTCATTTTTAATCAGTACCACAATTGACAGTTTCTGATACCAATTCAATCTAACTCGTCACCTTATGTACTCATTTGTGTACAACTGTACATTAACATTTGAGGACCAGATTGAGCATTTGACAAAGCATCAATAACAGAAATGTGGTAAGAGTAGCAAAGAGTATGCTAGTATGAAGTTAAAAGCTGCGCCATCGCACAAAATTGTTCGCTTTTGTGTTTTGTCAAATTCAAAGAGCATTTATTCATACATAATATGGAGTAACATCCAAGGAATATTTGTCCTTCAGGAAAAGGGAAAAAAAAAAAAAAAAAAAAATCAACAAATATTTGTCTGGAGGTATAACTTTAATGTATCAATATAACAACAATATTAATAAGCGATGATCAAAGCTCAGATGCATATTGATAAAGATCAACAGGTCATAAGGCGGTATGTACACAAAAGAATATTCTCCAATAGTCGATATGAAAACTCAACAATACTAGTCTACTACTCCCTCCGTCTCATAATATAGTCCTTGTTTGTGTTTTTTCACGGTATTTAAGAAATAGGAGGAAAAAGTGATTAAAATACATTGATAAAAGTGAAAAATACAATTATAGACATAAGTTAGAGAGAGAAAGTGGAAAAAAGTACAAGACATGTGCAAAATTCAAGAGTAATTTTAGGAAGTACAATGAATAAAGCTAAAAAAGTGAAGGTATATGATCTTTACATACGATCCAAAAATAGAAACACGAACAACATTTTGGATCTCCAAAATAAGAAAACAGGAACTATATTATGGAACAGAGGGAGTAAGTATTATTACAGGACCTGCAACAACTACTAATCCAAATAAAGCCAAAAAAAAAAAAATTAAAGCAAAACAGGTAACCAACATATAACCTACACAGCTTAAACCACCTCAAAAATGGAAGCCTGTTATATTATGGGACGGAGGGAGCAAGTATTATTACAGGGCCTGCAACAACTACTAATCCAAATAAAGCCAAAAAAAAAATTAAAGCAAAACAGGCAACCAACATATAACCTACACAACTTAAACCACCTCAAACATGGAAGCCTGTTATATTTATGGGACGGAGGGAGTAAGTATTATTACAGCACCTGCAACAACTACTAATCCAAATAAAGCCCAAAAAAAATTAAAGCGAAACAGGCAACCAACATATAACCTACACAGCTTAAACCACCTCAAAAATGTAAGCCTGTTATAACTGCACAAGCTATGTTAAGTCACAGCAACACTGTAAAACTACCTGCACAGACATCAAGCCCCCGGCACAAGCTAGCACATTGCAACAAAGTCACCAATATCAGCCAAGGAGACGTTTTCAATCAACTCCCTGGAGTTATAATACCTCAAAAAGCAGCCAAACTCACAGGTATGATAAAAATGTAAGCATCCTTTTATGGTCAGTTTTGGGACACAACTATGCCTACCTGGCTACCACTAGTTCATCTTCTCTAAATTGCCTAGAAAATGAGAAGATCATAGCAATTGAAAAGCTTGTGCCGCATATACATTATAGAAGCACTATATTCAACCAAGCTAACTATATCTAGAGCACTCAAAGGTAGTGTGATAAACTAGAATGAAAGTACAAGCTACCTAAATAAAAGGTCCAGACTCTATAACTACCTTCAGACTCTAGCATCTTCTTAACCAGAAAGCAGAAGGTGGGATGTGCTTGCTTTATATAGCCTACAAAATGATATCCTATTTTGGTTTTCAGGCTCACCAACAAAAACTACCTCCCAATGTGAACCCAGCTCCCAAAAAAAAACCACAAGCAAAATACAAGTCATAACTAGATCGACACACAGCAGGGGCAAGGATGTAAAGAATGCTAATCAAGAAATCTAAAAAAACCCACAATCACAAAAAAAAAAAAAAAAAAAAAAAAAAAAAAAAAAAAAAAAAAAAAAAAAAAAAAAAGAGAACATTTTGGGTCTAAATAGCTTTTCTTTTCATGCTTCTTGTGTTGTCCACTCTTCAAGTAGCTAAGAGACCTAGTACCAAAAACCAAAACAAGAACATAAGATAAAGATTTCTAAGTTCATCGTGGTTTAACAAGAAGCAACAGATGTTCCACAAAATTTGGAGGTTACGCAATCTACCCATAATTTCTAGAAAACCAATAAGCCGACAGCAATGGAGCCAGAGATAAACAAATTAAGAATAAGAATTCACGACTAGAAAAGGCTCCTCATAAGTTCTTAATACTCTCTTTTACTACCTCTAAATCCAAGCTTAAACTTTATGAGGAAATGATAATTTTGGTTTTTAGAGTCCTAAACATCTTCCTCCATTCCTCTGATGAGTTGTTTAAAGTTGCTAGCCCATTGGCATAGTTCCACATAAAAACATTAATAAGTTTCATCCCAATAGCACAGTGAACGTACATAATTTACTCTCTTTTCTTCGATAACACACACCAAGTTATAATTCAGGATGGAAAAAAGGAAACATAAGGCAGAGAGGAGCCAAAGATAGCAGGAAACCACAAGTAATATACATAGAGTAAAAAAAGCTTTGGACATCATAACATTTCTCTAAGAAAATCCAGCTTCAAAAAAGCACAGAAGAAAATGAGTTACTCCAAAGAGGGGACCTGTAATTGCTAATTAACAAAACCAAAGATATGAAGAGATGGGAGTCAGGATTAGAATATTAGACTGTGGAGACAACCCTCACAGAATGGGAAATCACTATGAATTGACCAAAATAACTTCACTACAGCAAACAGAATTTTTTTTTAAAAAGGGAGCTAGGAGCCTAGGATTTGAGTGGAGCCTAGGATTTGAGTTTGCTGCCAAAGACCACAGCAAAATATGCTTCTTGTAATGGATTAGTACCATAAAAGCTGGTATTAGAAATTAATGGAGTTAATAAACTCAAATCCAGGTAGATACAACTCTTTCAGATTTCTGAATAAATAACTTCAATGGCAGGCAGATACAAAACACTGAATTTCAGAAGACAAAGAAGGGCAGAGATCTAGCTATTGTGTCTAATGGACAAATTAGAAACGTGACACTTTCAAGGCAACATGATCTCAAATCAAGCATTATGACACAGATCAGGCCTACATGAGTAGAAAAGGGAATATAAACATTCCCTACAGCATTTACAAGCTTCAAATTCCGAGCGCTATATCTCAGATCTTAAGCAGACAATCTGATATTGACTGACATGGAAGAGCATAAGAGGACATGAAAAGCAGTTGCAGTTTTAGATGGAATATTATAGCAAAAGATACAAAAAAAAAAAAAAAAAAAAAAAAACCTGAGAAGCTATATAGTAGGAGGAATGGAGGAAAAGCATATGAACGCCAGAACATGCAACACTGATTTGATTATTATGTTCAGTAGAAGAAAAACCTTTCAGTCAGAAACAATATGTTATTCATGGAAACTGCAAGAATATAGATGGATAGCACAAAGTCAAGAAAGGAATGAAGGATCCTAACTAAAGCAAGGCAGCCCACAAAAGATGAGTAGACTAAGTAGCCATGAGATCTAAGCTCCATCTAGACAGATCTGTGTGCGAATCCTCTGGCACAATATCTTGATTGGCATTTTTGATGGAGACAAACTGGTGGAATATTCTAAAAAGGAGAACTGGTGGAATAGCCTAGGGGAAGTGCATAGAAAATAACACCCTTATAGTCCAGTTTCAACTTTCCTGCCAAGAAAACACTTAAGTAGCCATAATGAATGCCTGAATTAAATTTTCAGCTGAACGCTTCTGCTCAGGTGTGCCAGATATATGTGCCACACGGTCTCCACGAGAAGACTTTGGATCAGAAATCTCTATTACTGCTCCAGATATCTAGAAGACCAAAAACAAGCGAAATTCCAAAGAATGTTAGATACTTAAAGCCTCATCTTTTGAACCAACACAAAGAGGAAAGGACTCGCAGAAAAGAAAAGGAGTTTAAGAGCAGCAAACACAAATCACAAAAAAAACCCTCACTCCATACATTCAATCCACAAATCCAAAGGTCAGTTTCATGTTGGAAAGTAAAAATGTCAAGAGCTGATATAATTCCTTTAAAAAATCTCACTCAAACTTCAATTTGATGAGTTAGTGGACATAACAAAACCATAACACTTCTATTCGTTATAGAAATAAGATAAGCTGAGTTAAATTGATGAGCAGATGAGGTAATCGGGTCCTTAAGCCGATATCTGGCCCTATCAGAAAATAAAGGTACAGCACTACTCAATTACTCATAATTTCAAAAGCTTGTCTTGTACTAAACTAATAACATAATCAAGTCAAGAAAAGAAAAATAAGAGAATATAAAATGGTTGAGTGAGCATGGCTCAGCAGTGCTAAATCAATTAAAGCTTCAACAGTCTGAAGTTACGATCATAGACACAAGTTGAGTAGTAAATCTAGTGAATCATAAGCAAAAATCAGTAGTACATAGCTTGACTCAGTCATTATCAGCCATAAAGACACATTTTGAGCACATACATTAGTAATAAGCAGCTATGTAAAGATAAGGTTATCAATAGGAATGAAACCACTCAAAGCTCAGCTATCCACCCAAATTTGTAAGCATATGTTTCAACAATGTATACACCAATGACTCATGAACAAAACCAAAATAGAAAATCTCACATCAAATCAGGAAAACAGAATGTACCTGACGAATATTGGAAAGGTTAGCCCCGCTTTTTCCAATAACTTTACTTACTGCACTAGCGGGAATCATTATCTCCAGAGTAGAGGATTGCAGCAATCTTTTCCATGCCATAACCAGAATAGAAAACAATCAACTCAGGCAAAATATTTAGCTAGAAATAGAAAACGGTTTTTTAAGAGAAGCTGATTAATAATAATAATACCCTCCATAAAGCTTGGATGAATATGAGGATCCATATCCATCATCTCCCATCTGGAATGTACAAAATCAAAAATTTGTATTAATATACACAAAGGGAGAACAAAATTATTCGACATAGAAGAATAAAAACAGAGACCTAAATCCAGCCTCCAGCCAACATATATTTTGACTGTTAAGTAAAATTGTAAACTATTGTGTGTGTGTGTATATATATATATATATATATATATATATATATATATATATATATATATATATATATATATATATATATATATATATATATATATATATTCAACTAAACAACCCAGAATCAAAGGAAAAAACAAAAAAACCATGGAAATATTTTTAAGTGCTAAGTGAGGGGAGGAGGTAGTCTTGAGAAAATAACTTAGAAATTAATTCATAAAAGCTATATCTTCGATTAGATGCTTATATCTGCGAGGGGAACATAATAAAAAAATACAAAAATAAACCTTTTAAATCCTTTGTTTCTGCAACCAAACCCCAGATATCTACAAGAGAATAAAAGGGAGGAGACACAACAACTCATACAACATCAATATTGAATGATTGTCAAAATGAGGAAGTAGCTATTGTGCAGCTTGAACACCATACCCCATACTGAAAATTCAAACTAGAATTCCGGAGGGAAGCAAGTAATCCAACACAAAGATGGGATTTGTGCTACACCATAGCCATAACAATCATATATCAACACATACAAACCCATAAGCCTTAAGCCAACATTATGAAGGAGGTCCTCTTTTATACATAGATCAGATCAGTAACAAACCCAGATCATTGCAGCTAAGTGGAAGGTACATTTAAAGAGTGAATTTAACATACCGACAATGATCCGTATTTGTAATGGCTACTAGAAGTATACATGCCAAGATTGCCAACCCCATTTCCGGACTCAGTTCTTGGTTCATAACCCAAAGGATTGACTGGAGGAACAGTTTGTAAAACAGGAGGCAGTGAAAATCCACTGCTACCAGGGTATAAAGAATCAGGAGCAACAGAAGGATTGCTAGCACCAGCATTATCTTTCAGAGCATCATCACGGAGCCTAAGAATAATTTGTATAAGTGCATCTCTGACATTTTTAACTTCTCCAGATACCTAACATGATATATGAAGTAACAAAAAATTAACTCATCTACAAGGAATAGTATTAAAAACTTAAAAATTAGAGGATTCGTACCTCAACATATTCATCACCTTCATCAGCACACTTGGGCTTGTCTCCTTTTGAAATCCGGATATCAGCCCTGGTCCTTTTCCTAATCTCATTGACAATTGAGCCGCTCTTCCCTATAATGCACCCAATATTTCTAGATGGAATAAGAAGGCTCATAGTAACGTTTTCAGCATCTTCATTGATCTTTTCTTGAAGTAATAGAACAGCTTCGATTGCCTTTGATTGTAAATCATCCAATGACTGCCATGAAACAGCAAGTCTATCACAAGAGTTCCATAATACAAATTTTAAAAAAACATTATAAAAATTAAACCAATACTTAGCAAGAAGTCTTAGGGTAAAAATTGACAATTCCCGTAAACACAAGAAGAAAGAACATATACAGCCATGTCAGCCAATACAGGATAACTGTAATCTTTGAGAAGGACAACAGCAATGACCAAGCAAGGCTTGGCCTGGTGGAAAGGTTTGAATCTCACAACCATGAGTTGTGGGATCAAACACTCACTAGGGAGAACATTACGTTATAATTTTTTTTACCTTATACAAATACTTAAGAAGCATATCTACTTCACAAATTTTAGTTCGCCTTTCAAGACTAGAATAACAGTTGCAAAGTGGAAAGAGGGAAAAAAAAACTGTTAAATTATGACAATTCCATATCAATTCAATAGAGACCACTGAACTTATATGCACCCAAGGAAAAAAAAAAAATCAGCCATTCAACTCTACATTTATATCCTCCTAGATATCAGCTAACGAACTCAAAAAATGATTTGATAAGAAGGAACCTAACAAAGCATTAATGGTAAATATCCACACAGTACCAAAGAGCTTTTAGCTTTGTGGGGGAAAAAACCCACATTTCCGAAATGCAATGATTATTCAAAAAGCTTAAGAAAAGCTATATACCAAATATTATCCCTTCCATTCATTCATTACTACTAATCAAACTAATTGATTGTTAATTTCTTCAAAAAAAAAAAAAAAAACTAAATCATAGGTAATAGTTCCTAGATGGCATGAGCTGTCAAGAGTACAACAGCATAATCAAGTATGCTGATCTAGGAGGAAGAAACCAAAATGCAGGGCAAAATAAAAATCATAGTGGGAACAAGGTAGTAACAGATAATATTAGAGAGAAGACATATGTCAGTTGTAGTAGTAATAAAACAAAAGTCATACCTCAGTTGAAGTTACAGTAATCAAACATTCACTGCACTTATCTCGGGTAGCTTTAGTATCATCAACCTCAATGTGTGTACCACTGGCCTGTCTTACACTTTTGATAGTACACCCTCCTCTCCCAATGACACGCCCAATCTTATCAGAAGGACATAAAACCCGTACTGTCAGCTCCTCAGATCGAGAGGCCCCACTATAACCAGGGACAACAACAGACCACATGCTTCCTGAATCAGCATAGCCTGGAACAGAAAGTTCTGGTGCATGAGCATCCATTAGAGAAGAAGACCTAGAAGGAGCTATGGGATCAGTATAAAATCCACTGGCAGGATAAACAGGCATGTCAGCAGGAATAATGATGCTTGGTGCAACCTCGGGCACACTAGTTTCAAGGGGAATTTCTTCTTTAGGAGCAAACTTATACATGATTGCAGAAATAGCAAACAGCGCTCTTTTAACGGCCTCAGAATCTCCTGAAATCTGATTAAAGACAGAGGTTTAACAAAAGCAAAAGTTATTGACATCAATTTACAGAAGTATGTGTTATCAATGTGGAGAAAAAAGTTGAAAACACCTTAGACATCAAAGCCAGTAAAGAGAGGCAGAGAGCAATAAGGATAGTGAGCATTCTGCACAATTTTTGGCATAAAACTTTCAACTAAAAGTATTAAATCTACATGCCATATTGGCTACTCAAATTACCATTGCTAAGCCAGTTCAACAAGAATACAAGATCAATTGATGATAATCACCAATTCACCACTGTAGAGAGGCAAGGTTATCCTTACTGTGCATAAAGACTACAAACTACGTTCTTTTATTTTACCTTTAAAAAAAACAACTTGCAATAGATGGCAAACTAAGAGGCTGCATGAGAAATGTTGTAAGCAATTCACAAGTATACAGATCAATGCAAAGGGATGCAACTCATGCAAGAACTTGTAACCCAAGAACTAAGCATAACATAGCCTTATTCCAAAGAGCGACTGACCTGAACAAAATTGTCAAAATCCATAGCACATGAATGACTCGAGTCCGTATCATCCTTACGAGTGACCCTAATATTAGCCCTTGTCTTGCTTCTCAATTTCTTTATAGTGCTCCCCGACTTGCCAATTACATTAGCAGATTGACTAGCTGGGACGAGAATGTTGCACTCTTCCATATCTTTTTGCCTCCTCTCAGAATCACCCAAGCTGGACAATGCATTAGCAATGGCAGCATGCATTCTAAGAAGAGCATCTTGAGCAGGGCAAAGGGGTGCATTATTGTTATACTCCTCATCAACTTCAATATCTACCTTCTCCTTTACATAACAATAGATAGTAATCACCCTTTCCTTGGCACCAGGAAATGGATCCACCACCTTCACCTTTGCTCTCGTCTCCTGTCTTATCGAATTTATCACCTTTCCAGCTTTACCGATCACACTACCGATAACCGTGTCAGGACACAGAATCCTGTATGCAATCAATTCATCACCGCCCTTCTCCTCCTTATCAGTCCGTCTTCTCTGATTCTTACTATCGCCATAGTTTTCTCTCTGACCTCGGTACCGCTTACCCGTTTCACCCATATATTGATAATTTTCTACAACAAAGGGGAGAGTTGGTTCAAATTTTAATGCAATCCCTTAACAGAACATGAGAAAATGATAACAAATATCAACCCTAGAATTGTGCAGATTAAATAGCCAATTTACTTCACCACATGCACATTTTGTAAGGCAATTTTATTCACAAAAAACGATAATTTCATGCAGATGATTTACATTATACGAAGTATATCAGGTTCTTTCTCAGCATAAAACTTTAATCCAAAATTATAATCTTTTGCCTCAGGACCAACGATTCTTTCAATCAAATCTTATTTCTATCTATAATTCAATCGAAACCCACATTGTGAAAATTAAAGCCAATGAATAAGAACCAATTTCATGATAATCAGCCATTGTTATAGGGAGTTTAAAAAATAACAATCAGCAAACAAAAAAAAAAAAAAATGATTAAGCAAAACCAGATTCCACAACATCCTTTGCCAAACTAATAAAATTGAAACTTACCTCAAGAAATCCAATAAAAATAAAAACTTTTGTTTAAACCCCAGAAGTCGAAAATAAAATTATTAGAATTCTAGAAACCTAACATAGAAGAAAAGCATAAAGAAACAGGAAGTTCTGGAAAAAGGATAGGAGATACTAACCAGAAAGAGAGGAACTTTGGAGAAGAGAGCACGAGGGATTCAACTTGAAGGATATGCAACAATGCAAGGATCCTATGAATTAAAAATTAAAATCGAAGACCATTAACATACAACGATACAATGATACATACAACGATAGTACTCCGTAGTCCGTATTACTCTTTACTTCGTCGGACCATGAATTTCTTTTGGTTATGGCTACTTCGCTTAGGCCCATATTGGCCATATAGTGTTTTGTTCAGTTTATATAGAGGTAGGTCTTTTGGTCATGCTTGGCGAAAAATTTTAGGTACCAATTAGCGTTTTTACTTTATTAAAACGTTAGCCGGAAAAAAATATATATATATATAAACGGCTAAATCTTGCTCTAACCTGTGCCGTATGTGTTGTCTGTTTTCATTGTCGACAAGCGCCCACGTAATCACATAGACAACTCTTTAAATTTTATGAGAAGGATAAATGAAAGCAGATCTTTTTGTTAATTCATAATTAGACTTACCAAGGTTGTTAAATCTAGCCATGACGAACGGACAATATTAGATTTCATTTGAACCATAAACCAAACCTGATTTTTCTCCGTTGAGTTTGATAGATGAATTTTCGTCTTCCACGTTTGAGAGGTTTCTAAATCCGATTGAAGTTGAAAGGTTTTAGCATTGGAAGGACATTCCCCCCTCCCCCCCCCCCCCCCCCCCTCAACCCTAAACCAATATTGTGGGGAAGAAGTTGTGTTGTCATAGAAGAAGGATAGGGTGACATGGGGAAGGACTAGAGAGGAGAGGGCGTTTGGATGGATATATAAGAGTTGGATGTTTGAAAAAGTGTAGAGTGATTAATAACTCTATGAAAATTTCCACCATATTTTTCGTACACATGTTCAACAATGCGGTGTGTACATAAAATTATGCACAAGTTAGCTTAGAGCACATAGCAATGTGAGCGGTGAGCCTAGTGTAGAATAATTACATTGTTTTGTTGGTCCATACTAAACAAATCACTAAAACGTGGAAAGTTACTTTCACCTTAGGTTGTAGTAGCCAAGGGTGTGTAAAAAGTACAGTCACCCTAAATATGTATGAACCAAAACTAGATCCAACAGTTTCGTTTTCTAAAAATGTATTTAAAAAACGGTCGTAACTAGTTTCAATTTTTATTTTTTTTAAACAAAGACTTTTTGCTATCCAGTTATATTAAATCGTTTTAAAAATATTATTTTTAATTAGTTTAAGAATCCTAATGACTAGGTTGAATAATTAGTCACTAAAAGTCTAATCAGATGAATATGTCGTTGCCTAAATCTAGGTGGTCATTTATTTGATATAGAGAGTAGAAATGCCTACAAAGTAATAATTTATGTGAATTATATTTCATTATCGATTTAATGAAAACTACACAAAATTATTTGATTAGTAATGAAGTAACTTTTCATAGGAACTTTTATTTACCAATGACTAACCGGCCATACTCACCTCTACAGCTTTTCTAATAAGTAGTACTTTAGATTACAAAGACTCGTACTTCACCTTATGCAAAGATATGTACTTGCATGCTAAGGCACTTGTACTAGCAACATGTGCATTAAAAAAATCCCACCTCCTCCAAACATATAGTACTCTCCACATATTACTATAACTCAATCATGTCTAAATATTCTTCATTGGACTCATGAAAGCCAGAAACTCTTTCAACTTTCTCTCTCCTCTTTCCTCCCTCTCTAACCTCCAATTTTAATCATTTTAACTCCTAAATTCCAGCTTAATCTTATCTTTTGCTCATTTTTATAAAGTTCCTCACTTTATTTTATTCTTTGTTTTATATTCACTTTGTATGTTGTACACTTGTACTACTCATTTAATCTCGTAGTACTCCCCTCTTCTTCCTACCAAATGAACGTACTTCCACAATATTTACCTCATCCTTAGTTTTTAGCTCTCTAATCAACTGGTCAATGAAGTTGATTTTGATGATTTATTAGCTCTTAAACCAAGATTAATTGGTTAGTTCATCTTCCTCTCTTGTCTTAAATTTGATTTATTCTCTTAGATTATGTGACTTCTGTATAATATATGCTATTTCAACATATTATGATTGCTATACAATTCATTTGTCATACTACTAAAACTTGTATTTCCAAATCAAATAAACTTTGCAACTTGTGCTTAAAACATTGTTTTCATGCTTGTTATTACGAGGCAGTACATGTAATTATTTAATAATTATTGTACTTTTTTTTGTATCCATGTCAACTAACCATCTGGTTATTCTTTTTCGATTTTTAAATTAAAGATAAAAACAGTCATCGTGACATAGTTAACAGGATGCATATTAAAAATAAAGAAACTGGCCTTAAAAGTCAAAACAATGATGGTACCTATTGTATTCAAAACAATCCGTTTCTTTTTAAGAATAGAAGATTCAAGAAAGAATCATGCTTTATGTTAACTCACATAGAGTTTTCTTCTTAACTATTTATTTATAACACGCTATAAATGGTTTTGATCCTTTTTATTCATCGGTCATCCCTGACCGCGATCATATAAAAGCATCGATTATATATGTATTATTTACTTTTATGTCTAACCCTCCTTTTGGAAATCCCCTCTACAATGAGGAAGATGACTTCTCTTTCCCATATCAACCACCAAGTGATGATCCCATTAATTTTCCACCACTTATTGAAGATCAAAATACTTTGCCTAATACATCATCATTACCCATGTCAGAGTATCAAGATTTAAGCATATTTCTTGGTGAAGATCATTTAGAAGATTATACACTAATAGAACAATATGGTCCCAACACACAGGACCCAATTAATTGGGTTAGTCCAATTGAACAGGTTGGTCTTGAACATGTACAGCAGGGTACAACAGCAGAGGGCTCATCTCAGGGGCATCATGAGTTGCAATACTACTGTCCCACCACGACGACAACGATGATGACAACGACAACGACAACGATGATTGATGATCAAACTGCTGCCCCTGCAGATGGGGGTGTTAGAGAAGGATCGTCTAGTAAGAAACTTGATCACAATGCTAAGGAAAAAGTAAGGAGGATGAAGCTTAATGAAACATTTTTGGCACTTCGTTCTTTGCTCCCAGATTCTAGAAGAGCTAAGGTACTTATAACATTTTTTTTACATGATATATTATTGTTTTTGTTGCTTGTATAAATAAGCAGTTATCATTTGATTGATATAATCAATTAATATGAAGTAAAAGATAAGAATCTCTGCCTCATGCACCCTTCAAAGTTCAAACAGTAAACTATATATATTTCAGCTAATTTGAAGTGGACTTAGCTTGTTTTTAATTAAGTGTATTTTGTACATTAATCATCAAAACTTAGGTCTATTAATTCTACCTGAAGATGGAAAGGAATTTAACATAGAACACCAATTTAAATCACACCAATAGGACACATATGATATAATACACCTATATATCATATATGGGTGACTTCGTTTGGAGATTTTTTTATGTTAGATCACTTAGATGATTTTGGATTGTCCTTGATTATTGGCTGTTCAGATTACTTCTTTGTTATAAGTGTACACAATGCTCGAAAATTAGGCTATGTTCTCCTTAGCTTATTATAAGTAAGTTTCAGCCAAAAAAAAGCAAGTTATAAGCACCAATAAGTAAAGTTCAGCAGAAATAAGCTGTGGAAAGTAGAGCCCTTGTAAGGAGAAAATAAAGGCACATAACAAGTACACCCAATTCGATACACTACAATACTCTTCTTGATCTCATTTGATCTTCTTTCAAATGCCAACATTGCGAAGTGCTGACAGTAGAAGATATGGAAGCCCTATCTACAAACAAGTCTAGCTTAGAGCCCTATTTATGTAAGTCTTCTAATTACATAGATTTGATTATTGCAACCTAATACGTACCGAACCTGCTCTTTGAAGCTCATTATAGCTGACAAACCGAAATAACTAGCCCTATAACGCACCTTGAATGAAGTGAAATATGAAGTATTCCATTGCCTCACTTGAAAGACGAGGCAAACTAACAAAGCCTTGAACAACAATGCTTTGATTTCTTTAAAAAAAGCAAGAAACTTCTCATATTTTAAAAAGCAATGTCTGCTAACTTGCTAAGGGCTAAGATGTTTCAATGTGCCCCCTTTCTACACAACAATTTCTTAAACATTGAGCTCAATCTCAGGCTGATAAGTCATAACGCTTATTCAATAGCAAAGATGGCACAGAGTGTACTTAATCTTACAAACATGACTTGCAATAGAGGAGGTGGGTGATAATACAGCAAGATCAAGCATAATTTACCACTTCACCTACTACAATTCCACTCTAAACCTTAAAGATTATAATTGAGATTGTTTAAGAATACTTGTAAACTTAAGCCTCTCTAAACCCTGCCAGCACCAAAGGAGTCAAACACATATCTCTGAGAATGCGACTTTCTGAAGATTTACATGTGTCGATTATAGCATCTCTTAGGATACTCTGGGAATTTCTCTAATTAAGAATAACTATACCGAGGGGGGGGGGGGTCATTGCTTGTTCTATATTCATAATGCTTATATAATTGCATCCTTCTTCCTGATTCTTATATGACGGGGATACTCTTGTTCTAAGAATGTGCTACATCTAGTTATTATCCAAACCCCAGAAGATCATACACTTGCTACTGCAACATGCTTTTGTGCAGTGTAGAACTCTTGATTACTTAACTGGCATGTACTTGCTCTAATAAATGGACAAATTTGCAGAAGAGGTGGAGTGGACCATATATAATTGATAGAGCCCTCGATTATGTCCCTCAGCTTCAAGCTGAGATAGAGAAGCTAACACTCGAGAAGAGCAACATGCTATCAGTACTAGGGAAGAAGCAACAACTTGTCGTAGGTAGCAGTGATGTTCGTGATGCAAACAAAGATAAAAAGACACTAACAGTCTCGATGAATGAAGTAAAAAGCGGTGAAGTGATAGTACAAATATGTGAACAGAACAACAAAGTTGGTATCTTGTCCACTTTGATTGAGAAATTAGAAGGTCAAGGCATCCATGTCCTAGGTGCCTCTTCACAACGTGCTTGTGAAAACAGATCCTGCTTCCATCTTCATGTTCAAGTATGTTTTCTTTGCCAATCACAGACATACATAAAATCTAGTGTTAGCAGTAATAAGTAGAGAAAGTGCATGTCTAGGGCTGCCAACTGCATGAAAAACTCAAGAGGTTCCAGTGATTAGAAGTGTGATTCCTCAAATGATTAAGGTTGAGGTCAGGATTCGATATTATGTGGCCTTTGTGCCTTCTCACAGTCCCAGAAGGCTAGAAGCAAGAACAATTTCGTTCTTTTCACCTGAAAACCTCTAATACGAATTTATTTGTCTTACATTGAACATTTGACCTTGGATAGCCCTTATTTAAACTTATTGTTAAACTTTGGGATTTATGAATTTTAAGGTTGTAATCAACTGATTAAGGATACATGAAATGGGTCTTACTGTGTTTAACTCTTGTGCAGATGGGAGAAAGCCCAGTTGAAGCTGATTATGTTGCAGTCTTACATAAGAAGATAATTTCCTGGTTGTCCTAGAATAGAGAAAGAAATGCTTCATTTGAAGACTGATTTATGATTTACTAATTACAAAATTGAAGCCTGCCTCCTATTTTTCATAAAGGAGAAGAATGATGCAATTTTTTAGAAGACAAACTACAGGACATTTGAAAATCGCAAGAAGAATTACATCCTCGTATATATGTGCACGCAATTTTTATGCTTCATTCATATACTTGTAGTTAATTATGATTTCATTATATGTATACTCTGAGGGATTGTTTCTTATAGGCGAGAATTTATCATTAGAATAGGATGATTTTTCCAACAATTAGCAGTTCTATGGAATAGTATTGTATCTTTGCTTGTATTGTTTGCTTACTGTGAAGTTGTAGAGTATCAAAACCTTATGTGCACAATTAATTTAGAGAAATGGTGCAAGCTGAAGATTGTTGTTGAGTATCAATTTCAAACCTTTGAAACATGGCCCCTTGGGACTAACAAGAGTCCAACGCAGCACTTTAAAAAGTTATTTCCACAAAATGTAGCACCATCCCAACAAAATATATATGCAAAGTTCTTATCACATTATTGAGCTTCTATTACTATATTTGCGAGCCAGGTACTGGGAGTAGAGGGGAGGATAAAGGATTCCCTACCCCCAAGTACCCTCACTTGGTAGATTCGAAACCCCAAACCTCTAGGATTTGAGGTAAGAACTTTTCTAAGTGAGCCAACACTTTGTTGGTTTCTATTACTTTAAAATATGGCTACAGTAAAAAGTTATATAATTATGCTTGTAGTATTCTACTCAATGTCTCAGTGATCATCTCTTACATACTTCCATCATCATCATTGCTTCCTATAGTCATCGTGTAATCGTGTGTGAGATTTTCAGTAATACCATTATCCTTAAACGTAATGCGCAACACAAGATCCATGCAACTCTTAAAACACGCCATATGAGATACGACCACACCCAACAAATGCGCGCCCTTATGAATGTCATGATCTCAATCATCTATGCCTTCTTTGTAGCAAAATCATATCATCAAACTCAAAAATTCAATCAAAACAAGTCCACTAGAAAACTCAGTAAAAAAAAAAAAAAAAAGCACAAACTTTTGGTCAACTTCATAGACTCTTAGCACCCTACAAGAATACAAACCAACATACTCAAGTGATCATCATCAACTCGAGCAGTTTTTCGAAAATGGAGTCACACCCTCCACCTTTCAACCCCAACCCATGGGACCCACTTCCACCACCACCTCCTCCTCCCAACTTTCAATGGGGAAATCCCGGATTTCCCGGCGACGGTTTTCCTCAATTTCAACCCTTTCACCCTCCTCCCGATCACTCCTTCGCCGCCGCCGGTGGTGGTTTCTGTCAGCCGCCGCCGCAGCCGCAGCCGAAGCCTCATTTCCAAAGGAAGCGGAAATTTGGTAATTTTTTTAAATAAAACTGATGAGTACTAGAACTACTGTTTCAGTTTTTGTTAATTGTTTGATAGATTGTTGATTTGTATGTTAATTGAACTGATTACTACTAGTTAGAACTATTTGCTGAGAAAAAATCTTAACTTTACTGGAATTAGGGTTTTGATGATTTTGTTGTGATAGAAAGCTTGATACTGTCCACTGTGTCCACTGGTTGGGATGTAACTTTGCTATAATTAGATACACTTGTGAATGATTAAATTTTGGTAGGAAAAGCTCGTTTCTTGATCAGGTAAGGCGGTTCGAGTTTGAAGCTCTTTCTTTGATGGTGTGAGATATGTTAGGTGATGTTATTGCTTTCTTTTTGATAGATAGAGTTGATGATGGCAGTTTTGTGAAGCTTTATGTTGGTGGGATTCCTCGAACTGTGACCCAAGATGAGGTATGTTACTGTGGTATTATGAGCCTGTTTGTTCATTTGATGTGCTGTGTCAAGTTCCACAATGTGTTCATTTTTAGGATAATTATTTGATGCTTGTCAAATTATGAATTCTTGACATATTATCAAAATCCTTGTTATACAGAAAGTTATAGGTCTAGAAGTCCCTATTAACACTCACTGTGATAGTTTTCCCTCGTATTTTTGGTGTCATTACTGAAAGCATCAACCAAAACCACTACAACAACAAAAATAAATGAATAACAATAGTTAGAAGAAGAAGAAGTGAATCTTAGAGGCTTTTATCATTTGTGTTTACAGATCTTTGCAGCTGTTAATATGGAGTATGTGTTTTTCTTTCCAATCTTAATCAATCTATAAGTGTTCCTATACCCTGCAATTGCTGCTGAAGTGAGCATGCCTCTATCATATTTAGTTTAAAATTACTACTCCATGCATCTCATGTAAAGGTCACCCTTGTCCTCTTGAGAAAGCCAAAAATGTCACTCCTTGACACCCTCCATCTCTTGGTTTTTGTTAACAATAATATATATATGGAGGAACAATGCATACTTTGTACACAAGACTACAAGTCACAAGGCTGGATATCAAGCATGTTGCTCCCTTAAATTAGCTGAGAATGTCATTTCTTCCTATACGAATATGAAATTCATACTTCATAGTGTGCTACTTGAATAGAAATGTTTTGGACTTTTTTTGGCTTGCATTACCTGCTTATTTAGATTATTTTGGAAATACATTCACTCACTATGTTCATTCCTTTTTTCTCGCTTACATGTGAGTTTTATGATCTTTTTCTGATGAAGATTACTCTGAGAGTCTTCCCTTTTACAATATACTTGTTCTATCTGAGGTTTCACATAGTGTTCTGGCCTATGTTCTTAAATGTAGATTTTTTGCTTGTTTCAAGAGCATGGAAATGTCGTGGAGGTTGTTCTTCTTCCTGATAAATGGACTGGTCAACAGCAAGGTATACACGTATGCAAAGAAATTGCTTTATGCTTTAGCATATTTGATGACTATGTAATCCTGTTGTCCTATAAATTTTGTCCCCCTTTCAACTTTTCTACATGTCCCCTGCTAATTGTAAATGTTAAATTCAGAATAAGTTCTACAGGTTTCCTTAGAATAAATGAATTTGCAATGAATATAATACCTTCTAGTCGCACCATTTTATGGAAGCACATGTCTTAATTGAGTTTAATATTGAGCATCATAAATATTTATTCAACAGCATATTGGCATTTGGCAACTCGTCTAATGATGTCTCATTTATAAAGTTAAGGGACAACAATTGTTACTTTAAACTGGGTAATTTATAGTGTTTTATCTAACTTCCCAGGATTGGGAATCATATTATTTTATGTGTACAAGTTTATCTTGTTGTTGGTTGCTATCATTTTGTATTGTTTATAGTTAAGGATGTTGGGGCAATTATATATTGGAGGTGATTTAAATAGGCATGTTGGGGCGAGTCGAGATGCCTACAAGGGTGTTCATGGAGGCTTTGGGTATGGGCAGAGGGACGCAGGTGGTGAAGCTATTATGGATTTTGCCCAATCATATGATTTAATTCTGACTAGTACTTGGTTTAAGAAGCGGGATTCACATTTGATAAAATTTCCGGAGCAGAGTAAATGCAACACAAATAGACTTCCTGCTCACAAGGAGCACGGATAGACAAAGTTGCTTAAATTGCAAGGTCATCCCAGGAGAGAGTGTGGTTGCCCAACACCGGCTTTTGGTTATGACTATTCGTTTGAAAGAGAAGACGAAGAATAAAGGAAGACAATAGGAGCCAAGGATAATATGGTGGACTCTAAGGGATGCAAATGCTAAGGTTTTTATAGAAAAGGTAATAAGGAGGCGGTTGGGATGGAGAGGTGGATCCAGACATGACTTGGTTATGAATGAAGAACTGTTTTCTAAGAGTGGCCAAAGAGGTCTTAGGGGAATGAGGGGAAGAACTTCGCTAAGAGATACTTCGTGGTGGAATGAAGAGGTGAAAGCAGTAATTAAGCAAAAAAGGGAATGTTATCAAGCCTTGGGAACATGTAGGAGTGACGAAGCCTTTGTAGTGTATAAGCAGGCTAAGAGTAAGGCAAAGGCAGCCGTTCACCAAGCGAAAGAAAAGGCTTATTAGGAGGTTTACGAAAAGCTTGACTCCTAGGAGGGAGAAAAGATCATTTATAAGATAGCAAAGAGAATACAAGAGGCAAGGAAGGATATTGGCATGGTAAAGTGTGTCAAAGATAAGAACCAAATTGTCCTGATACAAGAGGAGGACATCTTAATGGAAGTAATGGAGTTGTGACTGGAAATACCTCCTTGAGTGATGAAGAAATTAACATGGAGTATGTGCGGCGAAGTAGGAGAGGAGAGGCGGAGATTGCACTGAGGAAGATGAAGCTTAAGAAGGCGGTTGGTCCTGATGGTATACCGATAAAGGTGTGGAGGTGTTTGGGTAAGATTAGTATTGATTGGTTAACAGACCTCTTTAACAAGATATTGAGGGTTACAAAGATCTTGCAAGATTGGAGGAAGAGCACCTTGGTCCCGGTCTATAAAAACAAAGGAGACGCTCAAGACGAGGGATCAAGCTTATGAGCCACACTATGCAGTTGTGGGAAAGAGTGATTGAACACAGGTTGAGGGCATGCACAAGCATTTCTGATAATCAATTTGGTTTTACGCTTGGGAGACCTACTGTGGAAGCAATCCATTTGATAAGACAATTGATGGAGTTTTATAGGGTAAAGAAGATGGATCTTCATATGGTCTTTATTGATTTAGAGAAGGCATATGACAAGGTGCCAAGAGATGTATCAACAAATGTGAGGATATGTGGAGGGTTGACAAAAGATTTCTGTATTACAATTGGATTGCATCAAGGGTCTGCATTAAGCCCTTTTCTTTTTGCAACGGTTCTAGATGAAGTAACTAGACCAATTCAAGATGAGGTTCCATGGTGTATGTTGTTTGCGGATGATATCATTTTGGTGGATAAAATTAAAGATGGGGTTAATGCCAATTTAGAGCAATGGAGAAAAAGGTTGGAATCTAGACGGTTTAAGCTAAGCCGGTGTAAGACTGAATATTTGGTATGTCGCTTTGGTATTCAGAGGGGGACAAGCATTGAAGTGGTGAGTTTGGATGGGAAGGATTTGACCATGAGTGAATGTTTTGAGTATCTTGGGTCAACCATCCAGAAAAATGGTGACATTGATCAAGATGTGGCCCACAGGATTAAGTCGGGGTGGCTTAAATGGAGAGCGGTCACGGGAGAGTTATGTGACCGAAGCATCCCCTTACAGTTGAAGGGAAAATTCTACTGCCATAATGGTATAGAATGTTGGGCTTCTAAGAAAGAGCACATTAAAAAGATGGAGGTTACGGAAATGCATATGTTAAGGTAAATGTGCAGGAACACTCTAAGAAATAGAATCAGAAATGAGGTTATTCGCAAGAAAGTAGGTGTGGCAAGCATTGCAGACAAACTAAGGGAAAATCTCATGGTTGGCTTAGGCATATAAGACAGAGATCCGATGGTGCACCGGTTCGAAGA